AATCTGAGCTCCTTTCCAGGAAGGACAGGTCAGCATCCGCCGGGCTCTGCATCAGCACCTCAGTCCTGGCAGTCCAGGTTTGCCATCCTTGGCTAAAATTCCAACTACAACTCTAAATTAGAACGTATGCAGCCAGACAGGCAAAAGCATTCAAAACACCACCCACATACTTCTCATCCTCGGGGGGCCACACGGGGTAAATGAAGAATTCACTTCCATTTCCCCAAACATTAACACCCACACTTCCCACCGTCAAGACAACAGTCCCAGGTATTTGCAGGAATGCACCAGGGCTGGAGGTCTGCTGCAGGTTGGCGTCCGCCCCCCTCCCTCTTCAGAACACATTGAAAAGCTGTTCGCGGGCTGGCAATTCCCCTTTTCCATCACCCCAGCACTCGCCCTCCTCGGGCCAGGGTCCTCGGGGAGAAAGTAACTCTAGTGGCTTCAAACCGGCTGACCCAGCTCCGCACTCAGAAGAGCGTGCGGGAGGGTGGCTGGCTCTGCAGAGCAGGCGGGTGAGCAGGCTGGCCCGATTCGTTAGGACCAGTTTCCCTGTCAGGACCAAGGCTCCTGTTTGGGGGCTTCCCAAGGACAAGGGCTCAGGGTGGCGCACTGTCCTCTCTGTTCCAGTCTGCCCAATTCTGCCTGATGAAGGGCTGGCCCTCGTTCTCTGGCTTCAGAGCCAACTTGCAGGACAGCGATGGCCCAGGCCAGGGAGAGTGGCCAGTGAGCTCATGAAGGCATTTCCTACCAGAATGGGCTCCCTGCTGCAGGAGATCAGAAGAACTTGCCCCCTAATGGTGTGGGCGTGGGAGCTTCGTTCACCATGACCACCCCGAAGCTTGCAGGTGCCCCAAATTGATCCACAGCCGGGGGTCAGATGGATGTAGAGCCTCCAGCTCTGAACACAGGGCTCTGCTTGGCTCCAACAGTGGGAAAGCTTTTAAAACATCTGTTTATTCCACCAGAATTTAAAAAGAAAATTCTAGGAAGAATTTTCCATTAATATAAAGTTTTAAAAATTCTTAAGTCAGACCTAAATTTTCTCATTAAATTCCGTCTTAAACAAAGGAACACATTGTGTTGTTGGTGAGCACAAATCTCTAACGAAAGGCAGGAATGTGGTAAGACATCTTTTAAATCAGTCTCCCCGCACATTAAGAACAGAAAACATTTTCCACAGGAAATCCACAGGAACACATATGTACTATGAAAAGCCGACGATTTTAGGAACTATGAGGCCCAGCTGCATGGCAGCATGCCCAGGCAGAGGCTTCCAGACAGCGGTGATGCTAGGACAAGCCTCTGGAGCTCTGCTGGGAGGCAGGACACACCCAGGGCCCCCAACCCCTGTGCAGTGCAGCACAGACTACAAAGCCTGGTTCTCATCACGGGACAGAGACTTATACACCCGAAGAAATGCCTCCTAGAAGGGCGGCTGGTGTCTGCAATCTACCAGGTGGGGGCTGGCGTCCCCTGCCCACCACTGCCCACCTTCTGCCCTCGCTGACCCCTGCTGGCAGAAGCTGAGGAAGACCCTCCAGCCCCCTGATTCTGCACCTGTCACAAAGCGACCACAGCACAGACACACACATGCCAGCTCTGCACACAGCTCCGCATGTGTGGGGGCTCAATCACTGTGCTTCGAGGGACGGGCCTCACCAGCGCCTGTGGGCAGAACTGGAGAGAGTAGGAGGGTCTCCTGGAGGAATGAGGTCCATCCAGACCAACTGGGCCCAAGTTCAAGGCTTCCTGGCCTCCTAGAGCTGCCCTCCCCAGGGATGGGGGTCCTTCTGAGTGCCCCCTCCAGCGACACAGAAGCTGGCTCTCCAGGGAAGTCTTAATGCAAAGAGCCACACGGAGTGATGAGAAGGGAAGCCCCCTGCAGCCTGGCAGCGGGAGGTGGCACAGAATGAGAAGGGGTAGGCTCAGCAGCCGTGTCCCTCAGACAGGCAGAGTTGAGTCTGGAGGCCATGTGGCTCCTGCCCAGACTCAGAGAGCCAAGACCATGCTCACAGCGTCCCTGCCTGTACATGATCCACTCTGCTCACTCACAAACTCCACTCCCCTCCTTCGGCCCAGGCAGGTGCTGAGCAGACCCCACCCCACAGGGACATGGACATGAGAGAGACTCACAAGACCAGCTGGGTGGCAGAGGACATGGATTTCTGGCTACTCTGGCACCAGAATACAGTCACGTGGTCACAGGGCACCTCAGATTCACACTGATACGGTCCCTGATGCCCCAGGCAGGTGGCCCCATCAAAGGGGGAAAGACAAGGCGAGGGCATGTGTGCCATGGAGGCCCAGCGGCCACAATACTCTCACCTCCACTTTTGTACATTTCAACTGAGGAGTGGACATGAGGTTCAAGCAATGAGCTGGACTCAGGGCTGGGGACATCCCTTCATCCCAGGGCCCTGTCCGCCTGGCTCCTCCCTAGAGCAGAAGACTCACCCTGCTTTATATCCACAGGAGCCTGCGGCTCCAACACACAGCATGACGGTGCAGACAGCGCGCTCTCAGCACTGAACACCTCCTCCACTGACTCACCAGTGCAGTCACGCCAAGCCAGGCTCGGTCCATTGTGACACTGATCAACATTCTACAAATTGGTTCTAACATGTTTAAGAACAAACAACAAACAAGGCTTCCTTTTTACCATCACTGACATGTATTGCAAAAGAACGCAGAAGAACATGACGACCTTCGCAGCTGAGGCAATGATTTAAGACTGGTTAAAAGAAAAGGATCATATTCTGTAATTCATCTTTAAGGTCTATGGGAGAAGGTTTGAGAAACTAGAAAGTACTGAAATCTGTACTCTGGTCATCAGCAGGTGATTCAGGACCGAGACATCTCTCATCTTAAAATAAATATTATTATTTTGCATGTTACTCGACTATGGGAAGGAAGAACAAAGATGAATTCTAATTTGGACCCAACCTGTATCAAGAACCAAGCCAATGACCCTGCTTAATTTCTGGATGGGAAACTCTACACATAGACAACCCAGGGCCTCTGCTGTTGTGACAGTCGAAATACGTTCACCCAGAAATGACCTAAGACAGCACAGGATCTGCACCAGCAGGATGAAAGGGACACTTTGCCCCTACACAGTTTCCCGCAGAAGCTCATGTTATTTCTACATGCATCCCACTCTCTGCAACAGCTCTCAGGACCCCCCATTTTTTATGCTCAGTATGGAGGGCTCAAGCCTCAACTTCTCCTCGTGGTCCGTCCAGGCCTTACAGCCAAAGGAGACAGGAGAATGTCTCGGGTCACGCCAGAGTTCACGATTTTACAGGAAGCTCTACAGGTGGAACAATTCTCATCACTCTACGTGTAATATAGGGAAGTAAAGGAATTAAACCTAGTGTGGGGGCTAAGCCTCTGAAATAAAACTTAAAGAACCAAGAAGAAAATAGTGTTTTCAGAGTGCACTTCCCTTCAAGGTCACTGTATACACAGAATAAGCCCCTACACCCAGTACCATATTCTCAGGGTGGGTCTTCACCATCTCATAGAAGAGAGATACATTTAGGTTCTTTCCCCAGTCTTATACTTGCTCTTGATATTAAAAGAGAAAAGCTTTTCCTGTTGGCTGGCAGTGTGGCCGTCTCTCCAGCTCTGCTTAGCAGTGACGAGATTTTCCGTGGAAGGTGCCGCAGAGGCCCAGGGCCCTGGGTGACTGTGGCTGTCCCCACACTCCCTGTGTTGGAGAGGCCGCCCCCACCAGGCTGCCGGACACAGCCTTCCTCCTCCTGCTGGTCCAGGGGGCCGTGCCCCAGGGCTCAGAGGAGCCTGGTCCTCGGAACCAGGAAACAGGACAGGGACACAGATGCCTGGGCCTGCTGGCCACCGTGGGGAGCCGGGAACCCCTGACCCATGCACAGGCCCCAGGGAACATGGATGCCGGAGAGTGAGGACATTTAGAACACGAGAAGAGCGGGGAGGAAAGGAAAGTGGAAGGGTGCAGCAAGTCCACAGAGACGGGCATCTCTTCTCTTTAGGGCATTTCCAACAGTGAAGAGTACACTAGCATAGAGGTGAGGGTCCTCTGGAAAACACTGGAACTGCCCCAGAAGAGGGTGCAGGCTCCAAGAGACGGCCTGCCTGGGGGCACAGAGCCGTGGGTGGGGGACAAAGGCCGTCCTTGGAGTGTGTTTTCCCAGGGGCCCACATCCGGGCCCCCCACATCCTGCAGTCTCCCCACTTCTCTCCAGGCTGTGGGCTCCCGGGAGATGCAAACCTCTGCACCCGCCAGAGCGGGGAACGGAGATGGGGGGGTGGGTGCTGAGATCAAGGCAGGCCGCGTCTTCAGGAGGGGCACCCTGTCAATGGACGACTGGACTAGAGTCAGGGCCTAGCTGCGGCCTTCGCTAGAGGCACCTGAGAGCTGCTTCTCTGAAGCTCTGCCCGCTCCTGCTCCCCGCTTTAGAGAGGAGCAGGGAGCTTGCCTGGGCAAGCCTCTCGCTTCCTGGAATCTGGCTGGCACAGAATGCAGAACGGGGCGGGTCACTGGCCACTGGGGTGAAACATGCAGGGGCAGGAGCCCCCTGTACCTGTCTGTACATGAACACTGTGGCACAATCCATTTGTCACCAGCAGCAGGTGGCAAACACACAGTACTTAACCTGTCGTACCGCAAACTAGGTAAGTTCCACAAGGAACCTGACACGGCCATCTCCCCCCAAGCACCAGACCTTCCTTTATCTCTGTTACGTCTCCCAGCAGGTCCCTAGAGACACTTGTGAGTCATAAGGTGGTCCCCCTGATACACGTGAGATTTGCAGACCCACTTGAATTTTTGGGGTCCCGGAAAGGTCCCCATCAAAGTGACAGTGCAGGGCCTGTGCGTGTCTGAGCCAGCTAACACTGACCTGTCCATAAGGTGGAACAGAGGACGGAAAATCTGAAATTCCCAGGGATCTAATGGGTGGCAAGGTCAGAAACAAAAATTCTGATGCAGGAACAAAGAAGATAAGGGCAGAAGACAATAAAGATATTTGGCATAATTCCTCCAATGCGGACCGTTAAAACCCGACTTGGTCTCAGAGACGCACAGACATGGGGGCTTCCCCAGGCCCAGCCCACATGGGACGGGGATCCCACAGACCCCTGAACCAGCCGGGGAGGCCCAAGGAGGACACCCCCGAAACAGTCAACACGGAGCTGGTTTTCTAGGGAGGCCCAGGGGCCTTCGGGGGGAGGGGAGCTGGGTTTCCAAACTAGACATTTCAGTGATCGCTTTGTTATTTTTAAAAAGCACGACTGGCACACTTTCACAATTAAGACCAGTTGATGCTGGACACTCATGAGAGAAAAAAATATCAAGTTTCGATCACAGCTCTAAGGCAGACGTTACATTTTTCACAGGAATGAAATGGAGACACCAACAGGCCGTGCGTCGGGAGGCGGAGGCATGCCGCCTCACAGCACCGTGGCCTGGACCACGATCTCCGGGTTCTCGATGTCCTTTTTGCTCTGGACCATCCTCAGCTCCAGCTGGGCCATGCTGGGCTTCTGTCCTTCCCCAGCCTGGCCTACAGAACAAACAGAGCGTTAACGAAGCGGGCAGAGCAGGCAGAAGCGACGTTCAGTTTCTCTCCTCCTTCCATGGCCTTTGTCCCACGCCCCAGCCGTCAGGATTACCTCCGGAGTTCCCCTCTCAGACAGGGGCTCCGGGTGGCTTCCCACAGCCCCAAGTCCTGACGGCCAAGGCCAGGGAGCCAGCGGGAGCTGGGGACTCCATTCACAGCAGGAGAAAGTGGTCACACCAGAGTCAAGCAGGTGACTCCCTCCCTCCCAGCTCTGACTCAGGCTCCCAAACACAGAGCCAGCCAATGAGACCGGCTCATGGGAAGGCAGAGGTGCACCCCCCACCCCTGCGGGCCCAGCTAGGCGGTACCTTTAGCATATTTGATGGTGCGCTGCAGAACATGGTGCATGGCAGACACAGTCTTCTCACAGGCCACCTGCAGGGGGGAGAGAAACACTGGGCCCCGCTCGACTCGAGGCTTTCTGCTCCCCACTGCTGCCTGCAGCTGCCTGGATGGGATTTTCCATTAACACAAGTACTGTCTCCACCCTCTGAGTTACCAGGGCCCTGACTCCGCCATCACACGCTCCCCAAACCACCATGGGACAGCCCACCGCAAAGACCCCAGAACTGAGCAGATACCTACGCACTAAATTAACTGCCTCCCTCTGGACCACAAACAACTCTGGGGAGGGCCTGCGTCTCATGATCTGTCAATGTTGTCCAGTATGTAGTAGGTGCTTAATAAGTGTTTCTAGAACGAATTCATTATAAAGAAGCTACATGGGAAAGAGCTCCTGCCTCAAAGTTGGCCCAAGTCATCGCTTGCCGGTATCTCAAAGTCGAAGACTCAGGGCTTGGCAGGTGCTGGGGAAGCAAGTGGAACTCCCTCCCAACCCCGCGCCACCCCCCAACTCCAAGACCCGGGGCTGCGCTGAACCCAGACTCAGCCTTAGGCGGCCCAGCAGCGAGGCCTCCTCCGGTCACCAGCTGGCCAAGATGCCGCTGCCTGGACCAGACGGAGCCCCCGAAGCTGCTAATTAAACACGGCAGGTCTGGCTCACTCTTGGCCCAGGAGGGAGGCAGGAGCGGGGGGACCGGGGAGGAGATGGCACATTTCAGCTTTGTGTCACAGCACTCACCCCTGAGCCCTGCACTTCACAACCACGAGCTGACGCCCAGCCGTAACTGTGCTGGGGAGGGTGCGCGCCTGCCCCAGGGGAAATGGGGCCCCTCCAGGTGCCAAGCAAAGACAGCTTTAGGGGAATCCACTTCCAGATTCCAATCTCCAAATTATTCTTTCCTCAAGTGGACCCAACGGAGACGGAGGCCTGGTTCTTTTCTCTGACCTCTCCCCTCATGACCGCCCTTCCCACGTTCTCAGGGGATGCCTAGAGACAGCTCTCCAGGCAAGTCTGACTTCAGAGCCCGCCCCTCATCCCCCAAGGGGGCCCAGCCTCCGGTCTACCAAGTCACTGTAGCAGCTACATTGCAGGACAAACTTTCACTGTACTGCTCTCCTGGAAGATGCTCCTAGTTACCGAGGCTGCAACACCACCTCTCAGTCCTCAGCTCCAGCCCTCCAATTCCACCAGGCTCAGGACTCCCCCACAGGCGGGACCTGGCTGACTCCAGCACGTTTTAAACATGCTCTTCCGTTTACGCCCCCACAGTACCCTGATCACCCCTGCTCACAAATGAGAGAGAGGGTGAGGAGTGGGGCTGGAACTCAACCCAGACGGGGACTCTGGAGCCCGGCCTGACCGCCCTCCCTGTCCTCCGCTCACGGTAAGCCTGGTCGTCCCTCCCCATCTTCGAACCACGGTACCCAGCTCCCCACAGAGGCGCATGGGTGGGGAGGGGTGCGTCCTGCTGACCTTGAGATCATTGGGGTGCTTGTGTGTCCACGCCAGGAGCATGGCGGCAAAGAGGTCCCCAGTGCCCACGAAGACTGCGTCCACCTTGTGCATCTCCATGCGGATGCGCTCCATCACCACGGCACCGTCGGGCTTCCCTGGGGGAGAAGAGCAGGGCTGGCTGAGCCCCGAGCCCCCTGGCAGCAGAGGGCCAGCCTTGTGGCCTGGGAACTGGCCTTTCCGCCTCCTCCCCGTTTCTTCCTCTGCACGCGACAGGGAGGGCTAGCGTTGCCCGCCAGAGGACTCACACAGACAGAGCCCAGGGCTCAGGGCCTCCCAGGGCCCCCCGTGCCCTCCAGCGGCTGCCCCTGTCCCAAGGGAGGAGGTGAAAGACTGGAGGGCCAGTAAGGCAGGGCAGGGGTTGGGGGGAGACACTGTGCAGCTCGACAAGAGGCCAGCGGACGTGATGTGACGTGACAAGGACGGAGCCCGTGGCCCACGGGAGTAACAAGGGCACCTAGAGCTGTAGGGACTGTGTGAACTTAATGAAGTGGGGGTCTGTGAGTGTATGTGAGTGTGTGTGTGTGTGTTTGAGTGTTCTTTCACAGACACAGAAGGGTCGTGAGCAGGCCACCCACGGGACTGGGTGTTAGCCCAGCCCTCCGTGTCATTTTAACGCTGTGCAGAGAACACCAATCCAGCTGGCATTTGCGTGAGTAAACTATCAACACAGTGGAGCATGAAACGCCCTCCCGGTGAGGCTGGCACTGGACCCCCCTTCACCTACGCGGTCGTGGACACCGAGAGCTGTTCCGTGACCACGGGGGAGCCTGTCAGCACCTCCTGCTCCACCGCACCCCGTGTCACAGAAACCTGTCTCGATTCTGTCTTCAGTGTCATCTTTCTCGGGGTGATAGGAGTTCAGGAAACTGACTATCCACTGAGTAAAGCATGACTTTCTTTCTATTTCTTTCTAACCCAAAACATTCTCAGAAGCTTCGAGGGACACGGGGCGGAAAGGCGGAAGGGAGCCGAGCGCCGTGGCGAGAGCGGGCGTGGGACTTACGCATCCTCTGGCTCCCCAGCGCGATCAGGTAGTCGGGGCCCCGAGGGGAGGGCAGGTCGGAGCTGGTGATGACCACCGTGTCGGGGCCCATTGAGTGCAGCATGTCCATGACCTGCCGGAGCACGGGGAGCACGTCAGCCGCCACCCCGGACCCACGAGCCCAAACAACAGGCACGACTGGAACTCGCGCGTCGGACGCGCTCTCACACGGTTTGGCCTAACGGGATGCAGACAGAGGCCGAGAACCTGGGGCACCGCACCCTGGTTCCGGCCTGCCCCGACCAGCGCATGCCCACCACGTGACAGCTTTGCTGGTTAGTGCCGCCATCCCCATCCCCTCCAGCTTCAGGTCCGAGGGTGCGCGCCTGCCGGTCCCCTTCCGCGCCCTCCCTATGCCCACATAGGGACAGGCCCAGGCCCAGGCTGGCTGTCCTTCCTCATCCGGGCTCCAGGGTGACAAAACCACGCACACCACCAAGCAACAACGGCTCCCATCTGTTCTGGCAGCCACTTACTCGCTCATTCATTCATTCAACAAACATCTACAACACACCAGGGTCTGGAGGCTCCCTGCCCTCCGAGGGCACAATGCCTTGTGACAAAATACCCACTGGGGTAAACCAGGGCTCTGGAAAGTGCTGGCTAAGCCAGAGTGGGAGGCCAGGTGTGGAGAGGTGGAGGAGAAAGGCAGGGGGCCTCGTCTCAGGCGGGAGGCAGCCTCACCTGCCCTCCACAGGGCCAGCGCTCACAGAGCCGCTCAGGACTCCTATTCTCTTGTGGGGTCACTCTGAGAACCTGAGAGGCTCTGTGCTGACCCTGAATCATCCACACACTAGGAGTTTCTGGTGCCCCAGGGCCCGTGTGGACTCCACGGCACGTTCCCCGGGCCTAGGAGAGGCTGGCCCCTGACTCACAGCACGGCGGCCGCTCCCCTCCCCTCGTGAGCCCAGGTCACACAGCAATGAGGAACTGACATGTCTTCCTTGTGCAACTGTCTCAGAGAAATGCTTGTGATCGCGTGGCCGGGTGGCCGCCCTTTGCTCCAAAGCCCAGCGCAGGCTGTGGGAGATGTGCCCCCTGCCATGCACATGTGCACATACGCATGCACGCACACACATACACTCACGGGGCAGGCCACCCACCTAGCACCCACCTTGCACCGGGCACCACATGCTATGCCAGCTCAGAGCAAGGCTCTCAGAACGGGAGGAGGGTTCCCCTCCCACCCTGCTCTCCTACCCCAGCGTCCCTCCTGCACATCGGGGAAAGAGGCACTGCAGCCCCACGGGCCTGGGTGCGGCCACATCTGGCCACCTCCAGCTCTGACCCGGGGACTTGGCTCCTTGGAGAGTATTTCCTGGACGGTGAGAGAGCTCACACCTCTGATGAGCTCACAGACAGCATGAGGCCCATAGCGGCCCTTGGCACGCCAGACCCAGGTCTGTTGCTTGGGCACACAGCCCGGGGGGTGGTAAACCTCACCTAAGGCTACGGACTGGCAGGAGGCCGACCTTCACGAGTCCCGGGGTTCGGGGGGGTCAAAAAGAACTTTGGGGCCGGCCCCATGGCTTAGCGGTTAAGTGCACGCGCTCCGCTGCTGGCAGCCCGGGTTCGGATCCCCGGCGCCCACTGCTTCTCCGGCCATGCTGGGGCCGCGTCCCACATACAGCAACTGGAAGGATGTGCAGCTATGACATACAACTATCTACTGGGGCTTTGGGGGGAAAATAAATAAATAAAATCTTTAAAAAAAAAAAAAAAAGAACTTTGAAGAAGAAATCTCTCCTTGGGCTGCAGCTCCTGCCTCACACTTCCAGCCCGCCCCTCCTGATGACTGTCTCTGCAGGTTCCAGACATGCCCAGCAAGCCCCCAAAAGGTGCAAGACAATTCCTTGCAATCAATCTCTTCATACACATACACACATGTGCACGCAGCACACATGCATACCACACACACTGCACACTCTCACACACATGCACACACACCACATATATACACAGACACCCCCCACGTGGGCACGGGCACGGACACACACACACCCACCCCTCCTACTGGTCCCTGGTGGACCGTGACAGGTACAGAGAGTTTTTGGTCGACCAGGGAGAAACAACTGGATGGTACCAGCGTGCGCTTGGTGCACACTCAGTGTGTTCACTTCTCTGACCGTCCACCAGGGGGCAGAACCTCGGCACGAGCAGCGGGCCTGTCCCACGTGCAGGCGGTGGCGCTCTCATGGGGAGGGCAAGCCCGCTCCGGTGGAGGCAGGCCCCTGCTGCAGACTGTCTGAGCAGGAAGGCGGCGACTGAGGCCACCAGGGAGGCAAGCTGCGCCTGGGAGTGCTAGAGGACTCAGCCAGCTAGACTCACAGGCGCTGGCACAGAGCGAACGCTCAGTAACTGCTGTGACAGTCACGGGGTGAACCGTGTCCCCCCAAAAGAGACAATGAAGCCCTAGGCGCCGTACCTCAGAAGGGTTCCTACTTCCTTATGTGGAAATCCGGTCTGTGCAGCTCTAACCAAGTTCAGATGAGGTCTTGAGGGTGGGCCCTAACCCAGTATGACTAGTGTCCTGATACGACAGGGGACACAGACACACACACACACACAGA